GTTAGGGTTAACAAAGAAGACAAGGTAAAACAACAAGGAACAACAAGGATTGATTATTAAACTGCTATTCTTTCCTTTCTCTTTGAACAAGATTACAGAATAACAAAATAATCTCTCTCCCTTGAAATTAGGATTTTATCTTCCTATTTTTCCTTATGCTAAGATTGAGAAACTAGCATCCTATTTATAATAAAATAGCACATGCTAACAACCCTAGCAATATTTACTCATGCTAACAACCTTAGCAATATTTACTCATGCTAACAACCTTAGCAATATTTACTCATGCTAACAACCTTAGCAATATTTACTCATGCATGTTAGAACAAACTTCGACTACAACACGCATTACTTGCGAACAAACTTCGACCACACTAGAGTTCGATCCAATGTCTCACAAATCTCCACCTTGGATCTAACTCTATAACATCAAGAAACTAGCTTTCTTCATGCAGATTTATTAACTGCATACATTGGAAAAACTTGCAACTGGGCAATGTCTTGGTGATCATATCAGCAGCATTATGATCTGTCGAAACTTTCAGCACTTGGACTTCTCCACGCTCGATTACCCCTCTGATGAAATGCAGCCTCACATCAATGTGCTTGGTTCGCTCATGATAGGCTGAATTCTTCGACAGGTGTATTGCACTTTGACTATCACATATAACAGTGATAACTCGACCTTGAAGTTTTAGCTCCTTTGCAAAACCTTCAAGCCACAATGCTTCCTTCACAGCTTCAGTTAGAGCAATATACTCCGCTTCAGTGGTTGATAAGGCAACGACCTTTTGAAGTGTTGCTTTCCAACTGATTGCTGTCCCAAACATAGTGAACACATATCTGGAGATAGATTTTCTAGAATCCATACAACCTGCATAATCAGAGTCGACATATCCTTCGATTACTGCTTTACTATCTTCACCCAAGGCTCCACCATAAATTAGGACTCTATTTAGAGACCCATTTATGTACCTTAAAATCCACTTAAATGCTTGCCAGTGAGCCTTTCCAGGATTCGCCATGTACCTGCTTACAAGACTTACTGCATATGCTATGTCGGGTCTAGTACAGACCATAGCATACATCAAAGACCAATTTGTCTTCTTTTGATTCCTCATAACTTCCTTATAGTCTCTACGTTCTTCGTCTAGAACCTCACTTGCAGAGATTAAGGCATAAGCTATAAGATCTGCATACCCAAGTCTCTGAGGTGGCTTGATGACTCTCCTCGACCTGTCTCTTGCTAGCAGGTAGTCATTATCAGTCTCCTCATCTTCGACAACATCTTCTGTGTCTTCTTCGACTTCATCTGGGGTAAGCAATTCAGCATCAACATGCTCCACCTCAACAGGAATCTCTCCCTGTTCCAGCTCTTCGTCAACATCATCAGTTTTCTTGAAAGCCATCTCTGCTTCGTTGAAAACTACATCTCGACTGGTGATACACCTCCTGTGACCTGGCTCTAGGCACCATAGCCTATAAGCTTTGACTCCTTCAGGGTATCCCATGAACATGCATTTCAGAGCTCTAGGTTCGACCTTGTCTTGCCTAATATGAGCATAGGCCACACAGCCAAATACTCTCAGTCTGTCGAGACTAGGTGGCTGTCCCGACCAAAATTCTTCAGGTGTCTTCATTCCCAAGGCAGTCGAGGGACATCTATTTATCAGGTAAGCTGCTGTCGAAACACCTTCCGCCCAAAACACCTTCTTCAATCCAGCACTAACCAACATGCATCTAACCCTTTCAAGGATTGTTCGATTGAATCTCTCAGCTAAGCCATTTTGTTGAGGAGTACCTGCTACAGTCTTATGCTTTGCAATCCCAGACCCAACACAGTAACTGTCGAAAGCTTCGTTGCAGAATTCAAGGCCATTGTCGATTCTCAACCTCTTAACCTTTCTGCCAGTCTAAGTTTCGACTAGAATCTTCTAACTTTTGAAATTCTCAAAAGTTTCATCCTTCGTCTTCTGAATGACTACCCATAGTTTTCTGGAATAGTCATCAACGATGGATAGAAAATACCTTGCACCTGAGTGTGAAGGATTCCTTGCAGGCCCCCAAAGATCAACATGAATGTAATCCAGGGATCCATGTGTTCTTTGCTTGCCTTTGTTAAACTTCGCCCTACAGGATTTACCAAATACACAAGATTCACAAAATTCTGACTTTTCGACTTTGTCACCTCCTAGCAGGTTCTGCTTCCCCAATTCGACCAGGCCTCTTTCGCTGACATGGCCCAATCTCATGTGCCATAATTATGTCTTCGACATAGATTTCGTGGATGCAACATTTGTCGAACCACTTACAACCTCAGCCTCAAGGGTATACAAGCCTTGTTTCTTCACGCCTCTCAAGACTTCCTTCGACCCCTTCATGACTCTTAGGATACTTTTCTCTCCTTGAAAAACATATCCTTTTCTGTCGAATTCACCAAGAGAAATCAAATTTCTCTTTAAGTCAGGTACGTACCTGACTTCAGTCAATAACCTTATTGACTCATCATGGAGCTTGAATATCACAGATCCAATACCTGCAATTTTGCAAGATTTGTTGTTTCCTAACAGCACAGATCCACCATCTTGATCACATAGCTCCTCGAACAATTCTCTGTTTGGAGTCATGTGCCAAGTGCAACCTGAATCCATAATCCACTCTTTCCTCGAGTCGCCACTTGAAACCACAAGAACATCAGATGAGTCGAAGTCATCTTGAACAATGGCTGCATTGCCATTACCTCCATGATCTTTCAGGCGTTCAGGGCACAGCTTTCTTATGTGACCCTCCTTCTTACAGTGGTAACATCGAATACTAGATGTTTCGCCACTATAGGACTTATGTTGACTTTTACCTTTTTTCTTGTCGAACTTACCATCCTTTCGCAAGAATTTTCCCTTAACGGCCAAACCTTCGCCCACCGTCGAAGGTTTATGCTCCTTTCGTTCGTTCAAGTCCTTAGAATACAAGGCTGATTGAACTTCTTCAAAGGTCAGGGACTCTCTTCCATACAAGAGAGTTTCTTTGAAGTGAGCATGTGTTCTGGGCAAAGCACACAGCAGCAATAGTGCTTGATCTTCATCATCGATCTTCACATCAATATTTTCAAGATCAAGAATCAGCTTGTTGAACATATCCAACTGGTCAGCCAACACTTTGTCTTCACTCATCTTGAATGAATATAAAGCTTGCTTCAGGTATAGTCGATTCACCAGAGATTTGGTCATGTACAAACTTTCAAGTTTCACCCATAATCCCGATGCTGTAGTCTCCTTTGATACCTGTCGAAGAACCTTATCACCAAGGCTCAATAATATTGCGCTGTGGGCTTTCTCGATCATGCCCGTCTTTTCTTTTGCCGTTAACGCAGCGTCCATGGCTGCCTCACCCTTCAACGCTTCCAAACAACCCTGCTGAACCAATAGGGCTTTCATCTTCAAGCGCCACAGACCAAAGTCGTTCACTCCGGTGAACTTTTCAATCTCATACTTTGTTGAAGGCATCTTCTCCACGCTCACCGCACCAATTTGTTGTGAATAGGATACCGTTAAACAAAGTATACACGGTTTCTTAATGATCAAGAAACTCACAAGGGTTAGGGTTAACCAAGAAAACAATAAGGAATAACAAGGATTGGTTATTAAACTGCTATTCTTTCCTTTCTCTTTGAACAAGATTACAGAATAACAAAATAACCTCCCTCCCTTGAAATTAGGATTTTATCTTCCTATTTTTCCTTATTCTCAAGATTGAGAAACTAGCATCCTATTTATAATAAAATAGCACATGCTAACAACCCTAGCAATATTTACTCATGCTAACAACCTTAGCAATATTTACTCATGCATGTTAGAACAAACTTCGACTACAACACGCATTACTTGCGAACAGACTTCGACCACACTAGAGTTCGATCCAATGTCTCACAATAAAGATAAAATATAAATTAGTTATGAAACTTGCTTTTCTGTTATGAGCCAAATATACATATATAATTAAATTCTCTCTTCTCCTTTTTCCGTGATCTTTTGAATCAAATCTAAATAAACATGATATATATATATATATATATATATATATATATATATATATATATATATATATATATATATATATATATATATATATATATATATATATATATATATATATATATATATATATATATATATATATATATATATATATATATATATATATATATATATATATATATATGGCGAAATAAAATATAAAAGAACAAAATTAAATCAAAGAGACTAGTATACGTCCAAGCTCCACCCGTGACCTTTCCTCATAAGCCTGACCCTCCGATTTCGATTGAAAGTTCAAGAATGTGACCTTTCCACATGTACGCCCGATCCTCCGATTTCGACTGAAAGTTGAAGCAAATTGACAATTAGGTAAACCCATCTTATCTCTATAGAAGTCTTTGTTAATGAAAGGAGGAACTGAGTCCCACCAATGAAAGTCCAAGAGCTCATGATTATGATTCGCGATCGTATCTGCACACCTGTTACCTTCCCTGTTATCCCAAGATTCTTCTAGTTAGCCCATCTATTGCGGAGCTCCCATGGCATAATGCAGTGAAGGGCATCCTGTGAGTTACTCTCAATCTGCCGCTTGTTCTAACGCTAGCATAATCTATCTGTCAGCATTTTCTAACACTAACATAATAGAGAGAAGCTCTTCATGCAACACACTAGTAACAGGACCTGAGCTTGCAGCAAATGTGCCTAGCAACTCACCTTGATAGTCCCTAACAATACTAATGTAAATAAAATTCAATAGAACTTCCTTCTCTTGTTTGAATATTTAAGATCCTCCATATTTGAACCAATAAATTAAGGTACCTTCTCATTATTATAAAAAATGAAAAAATAAGTAAAACCCTTCCAAGAAAAAGAGATTAGCACAAACCTCCATCTAAACCTACCCTTAAATAAATTACATTCACTAACACCATTGCTAAACTAACTAAAATAATAGTAAAAATTTATTCAATTTGCAGCCTCACAATTTTCCTGCAACTTCCCATTCTCCCATTGTTTAACAAGATCATTGTATCCCTTAGCATAATCAATAGCAAACTCTGCCATTGATCTCATCGCACTCGACATTCCACCGCAAAGTACCTTAACCGCAACCTCCACCACTTCTTCTTTTTCCACCTTACCAACTTCCACCATTTCCATGTTTCCGTTGTATCCAACTATCGCATTTTGTGCAGAATCTTCTTTTACTTGTTGAGCATAGAAGGAACCTAAGCCAGCTGCGAAAAAGTCTAGACCCTCAAGCACCGCTGTTTCTTGTATGGCTTCCAGACGTCTTGACCACTGCACACAAAGTCCAAACAAAGGATGGCTGCAGCTAGACCTTCGAGGAGAGCATACTAGTTTCGATGCGTCGGGTTCACATTTCATGCATCGGAGAAGCCAGCCGGTTAGTGCATGAATGTATGATCTCTGAGAGGTGATCCACGACTCAAAAGTGTTTCGCCAGTTCCTCAACTCGGTTTCAAGAGTGGAGGCAGAGAGTGCAAGTCTCAATGGATCGATTATTGACACAGAGGAATGTTTTCTGGCAGCAATGCCGTTTAGAATAATATTGACTTCTTCCAGGGTTTGCTTCTGTGTCTGATGACATTCTGCCATCACTTTCCACATCTTTGCTAGCCTGTAGTTTGTATAAATTAATCGTCCAAAACAGATACACGTGAATCGTAAGATGAAGCATAACTACGAAAAAACAAATCGAAAGTGTAATTTACATACCCTTGCAACATTTCAAGAAGCTGGGGATGCAACTCTTCGTCCCTTAATGTTTCAATTCTCCGAGAAATAGCTTCAACTGAGTGTATTGAAACTGTTATTTGAGTGCGTAGATCTCTAATAGCTACTCTTGTTTTATCCACAGAAGAAGGTTCCTCTCCTTTTATATCATGGTTCTTGAGTTGCAGACATTTCTTCTCGTAAGCAAGTCGAAAACGCGTTCCAGACTGTTAAAGAAGCACGTAGGCATAACATTAAGGTTCCGATTATTAATATTGTATAAACCAATAGCACAAAAATGACCTATAACAATAGTAACATGGTAGACCGAAAAATATTATTGGGATTTTAATGTTATACCCTAACTTCTTGGTAAAGCTTCTTCTCCCATGTATATAACCGGTCTAACGTTGATTGGTGACTGGCAGACAACATAGAACCTTCTCCTGACGGAGGATCGTCGATGTGTTCATAAACTTCATCCCTAGAGTTTGAAAATTTCATTATACTTTTTGACGGGGACGAGCTAGAAGAAGCTGAGCGAAAAAGAGCTACTGGATTCAACAATTTTGACGCTGCAAATGAAATATAGTTTAAACTTGTGTTCCTGAAAACTTACAAATAGATAGTGAAACAAAAGTGATCTACAAACGCAAGATTATTTCGGTATATAATTCAAAGGTCATGCTTTCCTTCACACATAAAGCATTTTCCGAATGAAGAAAACTTTCACCAAACCTGACAGTTCATTAGAAGTGGATAAGTGTTGAACTTTCTTAGTCTCTAACAGTACTGAGACATCATTGGCTGCATTACAGACAACCCTGAATTGAGCTTCAAGATCGTTGATCACTTCTGCCATATTCGCCGGTCTTCGGTTTACATAAACTGTAAAACCAGGTGTTTCTTCCTTGGCTTCTTGATTATCAATTACCATTTCTTGATGGCTAGATTCCATATGACCCGAAGTTTGAGCTTTTGATACTTGAAAACACTCGCCATCATTGACTTGCACAGTTTCGGTTTCAGCATCTGTTCCCTCCTTTTTCTCTTCCTTATGTTCATCAACTTCTTCAACCGCGGCTTCTTTTGAGGAATTCACACAGATTTCGGTTTTTTCTTCGGCTATATTTCTCTTAACAATAAAACCCTCTTGTTTGGTATCCTCTTCTTCCGGTTCAAGGTCCGGTATTCCTTCTTCTTCCCGAACTTTTGTCAGTTCTCGTTTCTCAGCATCCATAACAATCTCGTCAAGGCTACATCCATTAGGGTAACCGTAATAGTCCAACGACGTAAACGGATTCCAAAAGGAATCCCACTGAGAAGAAGACCGTGGTGGTGAAGTAGGAGGGATAACAACAGGTCTGTTATTCGGAGAATAAGCGAAAATCGACCCATTCATCGGCGAGGATTGCATACCAAAAAAACCATCATTACCATATTGGTACCTCGGAGGAGAATATGCCTCAACTCGACCCATTTCCGGCGACATAGGCTTTTCTTCAACTGAAATCACTTGATTACAACTCGACCTCGAGTAACTCACTTTCAAAGCTGCACTATTCGATCCAAGCTCAATTGTTTCCGGAGTAGCTTCGTTTTTCACAGGCGGTGGTGTTACAATCGAATCCAATTCAAACTTAAGTGCTTGATCTCCTTCAAAATACTCAAGCAAAGCAGCCGCCACCCTTTCGAGAGACCGAATATACGCAACATGTCCATTTGCAAATTGAGTTCTATGCTCAACAGCCTCTTTTATGAATCTCTTTCTATCTTTACAAATCTGAACCGCTTCTTCATCATCTAGCTTTGATTGAGAACATCCCATTTCTCACTTCACTTCAAATTCAAACCCTAATCTCAGCTTTGCATTTGAAATGAAAATCAAAGGAATTACTTTTACAAATCTCCACAAAAATCTGTTATCTGCAGAAAAACAGAAAAATCTCAATATAAATATCAAATTGGGGAAAAAAATCATGAAAACAAAAATTGAACACTAACCCTAAACCTAAAGTTATAATGTATTATCATCCAAGTGAATAAAGTTTAATTCTTTTCTTCATTTTCAAGTAAGAATTGTACAAAAAAAAAAAAAAGAATAATGAAAAGCAAAAAAAAAAAAGAAAGATAATCAAGAGTCACATTGTAGAGAATTGGAAGAGGAAAGGTACTAGGGTTTGATTGAGATGAACAGTGAAGTGAAGATTAGAACAGTACCTGAAGAGAGCGAGTGTGAAATTGATGAAGCTTTGATCAGAGAGAAGAGAATTGAGAGAGACGTTGAAATAAAGTAACGGTCAAATATTCAAAGAAAATAGGGTTGGAACAATAAAACGACAAATGATAGTAACAAAAAAAAGTACTGTTGAAGTGGTTTTTAACTGAAAAAAAACAAGGAATGTTGGAGACAATAAAGGGACAATTTATGTAATTTTTTTGGGATTTTGATTTATAGCTGTTACCATTTAATTATATGCTCGGTTTTAAAAGATGAATTAATTGGATGGTAATAAACTTATGGAATTTTGGTATGGAATTTTTTGAAAATACTAGTAAATAAATTATTTAATATTTTTTTTCCAAATTTTATTTTTGGTCTCTATAAAAAAATAGCGTGTTTTAGTTCCTACAAAATAATTATGCACGTAGGTTTAATCCGTTAAACTAATGTGTATTTTTTGAATAATTATTTTGGAAATACGTTAAAAACGTTATAAAAATTTTTCGAAAAAAAAAATTAAAATTTGATTTATAAGTGAAGATTTTCATAACTTTTATTATTATTTTTTAAAATTTAAAAAATTCATATTTAATTCTTCTTATTTTAAAAAATTATATAATTTGATAAAGAAACATTTTATAGTAATTTGAAAAAAATTATTTAAAAATTCAAAAATTTAGGGGTAATTAAATAGTTTTCAAAATTTTAGAAAATAGCAAGGACTATGCTTGCATAAAATTTTTGTAGAGACGAAAATATATATATTTTTTATAAAGATTAAAAATAAAATGTGAGATATTTATAAGAATAAAAAATATATTTAACTCTGAATTATTTTATACGAAATTGCGTGATTAGTTTAATATTAAAGAAAAAAGTTTTTTTTTCCTTCCTAAAAAAAAGACAACTAAATAAAAAAAGTTAATTGTATTTTCTTTTTTGTTGTTTATATTTTTTTAAAAATGATTAAATTGTTTATCTAAACTCATTCTAATTTTATTGATGAAGTTGTTTTTTTAAATACTTTTTTATATTTTATAATTAAATTAAAATACAATATGACTGCGTAAAAAAATATTTTTGGATAATGGGTGAATGGGTTGTGGTCGTGACCGGCTGAGGAAGTAGACGACGACACCTTCAACGATAGTGAGAGTGTTTTCACCATCATCTAATGCTCGTTTGAGTGGATTTAGCACCTAGTTGAATGGATCTAATGTTCAAATAGACATATCTAGGATACATAATGACACACAAAGACAAGAAACAACTAAAAAAGGATGACTCCAAAAATCGCCTTAATATCCGTAGCTTACCCTAAGAAGATGTTGGAGTCGATTATTGAAGATAATAAAGAGGAAATGAATCAAGATACTACATATGCTAAACAAACACAATAAATACCATGAGTGGGCAATATCCAAGGTAATAAATTACCTTCTCATGGCATTGAAATTGATTATACACTACTGATGATTGTGAATACAAAAATCAATGTGATTATAAAAGAACAAGATGTTGAATTTGAAATGAAATATTGGGAGAATACTCTTATCATGTATGCACGGGGGGAAGAACTATCGATGGATATAGTAAAGAAATTCATGATTACTGTGAAATTTTGTATCCCTCCCATAATTGTTCTATAACGAGGAAGGATATTTCATAATTCAATTTAGGTCAAAAATTGATAGGGATGTTGTAACACCCTAATCTCCGACTCGACAATTAATAAAATAATTTAAATAAAACTCCATGATAAGAGTGTCACACATATTTCACCATAGCAAAAAACATCAATATAACACATTCAATAAAACAAAACAGCGGTAAATCATTAAATTTGGCATATAAGCCTCAACATCAAACAAACAACGAACTTCAACATAAGTGAGAAATAAAACAAGTAATGAGTGACCAACCAATCCCCATTGCTACATATCAGAGAGACTCCTCTAAGACTCAATGATAATAGCTAAACATGCATAGATGTTGTCCTCTAACTCAAGCGACTACTCTTGTACCTGATTATCTGTATGTCGCTTCCGGGAAAATAAGGTGCCGGCAAAACAGAAGAGTCGCCACCTTTCGTTATTTATCCCTCAGAACGGGAAAGGAAACGATCGGAAAAACCTGACGAAAAGGTATAAGACAAGGTCATCGCAACCATTGTCTGGGTTCGGGAGTCGGTTACGCAAGGGGAAGGTATTAGCACCCCTCACGTCCATCGTACTCGACGGGATCCATGCTTGTTGTGTTTACTGGACGGGTTGGTTTTATCTATCTACCTATCAAGGCTGGCTTAAAAAAGAAAAGAAAATGACTCGACAAAGCGTCACACTTTATGCCTACGTATTCTCATCAGAGAATGAGAAATCAGAGTCAACGTAGTTCGACTAACTACGGGTTACGGGGAAGGTGGCTCGCCAATACGTCAGTATTGTGCCTACGTACTCTCAACAGGCTTGAGAGATCAGAGCTTACGTAGTTCGGGTTAATACGGATTACGGGAATTCAGATTCATCTGTTTTATCGAGTAGGGTTAACAAACAGTTCCAACAGTTGGATGTACGCAGCTCGACCCTTGGAGACTTAGGCGTTACCGTTTGCGGTAGAACTGAGAGTTAACGACACTCTTTTCTTCAGAAGAGCTTTCCTTTGAATTATGGGCCCACGGGGCAAAAAAGGTTTGAAGTTTGTTTTCTGTATTTTACGGAAGAACTGTTTTTTATGGATGTTTGTAACTAGTATCGCACTAGAGACTATGACCTGAGAGTGAATGCGTCGCATGTCACCCAAAGGGTGCCATACTAAACATCCAAGCTGTCGAAAAGAAACTCTCCGACAACCCTTTCTCAGATAGCTTAAGGCTCGTAACGTACGACGTCGGTTAACCTTTATTACTGTATTTTGATTTGTTTGAAGATAAGAAGAGAGAGGGACAACTACGGAGAGACTATCAAGTCCTAACAGTTGTCATGCCAAGGATTCATCCTATGGTTGAGGTTTGAAACAGGGAACTCCTAGAAGTTATCATGCATAGGTTTCGACCTAAAGTTCTAATCATCACTTCCTTATCAAAGGAAGTGAGATTCCTAGGGGATCATGTCAATGATAAACAGAAACAGATACAACCAAAGCATCGGCTTAAACAGTAAACAGTAAACGACTGTAAAATGCATGCAATGCAAGTGAGGGAGGGAATGTGTGTGGGGCAGCAGCCTCCACAAGCTCATCTCAACCTCAAGCCAGATATGAATAACTGTAATCATATAGAGGAAATAACATGCTATCAAGCAAACACAACAATGGGCAATTGCAATCATACAGAAGAAATAACATGCTATCAAGCAAACACAAACCACATGGGCAAGGGAGTTGGGCTCTACCGAATACCCGCAAGCAAAGCCATACAGTAAAAATACAAGCAGAGGGAGCAACTCAACCTCTAGTGCAATCATGCTCCTAGCTTAAGTCAATCTAAACATGAACTTATTCTAATGCATCAAGCAAATCAAACAAGTTACAGCAATACAGTTGCACAGAAAGCAAACAGACAGGAAAGAAAGCAGCTCAGTCCTCAGACTTCAACAGCTCTTCAGGGCTTTCATCTTCAATAGCAAGTGTCAACTTGCTTCTCCAAGGTTTCAATGCATCAAATATAAGTATCCACTTGTTCTCTCTTCCTCAAGCCTCAGCTCTTCAGTCAATTCCACCTTCAGGCTTCAACCCTAATATCAAGTATCAACTTGGCTCCCTCAGGCTCTCAGTGGATCAACATAAGTATCAACTTATCCTTTATTCCTCAAGCCTCAGCTCTTCACTCAATCTTAATTAGGTCCTCTTCACAAGTGTCAACTTGTTCTTCTTGGCCTTCTATAAGCTTCAGCTCTCTCTTCTTTACCAGTATCAACTAGCTTTTCCTGATCTACAAGCTTCAGCTTCTCAGAGTAATCTTCGAACACACAGAAGTATCAACTCCATCATTCAATCTTCTTCAAGCAAGGAACTCCATCCTCTAACAAGGGAGAGATATGCATCCATCAAGAGCAAAGTTGGGATGACTGGTAGCAGAGTGAAGACCAAAGGTCACCACTAAGCCTCTTATCATTAGAGAAAGGGACCCTCAAAGGTTCTACCAACTTGTAGAGAGCTACACATCCTACCAAAGGAGGGATGATGCCTTTACAAAGGGACCTTACATCATAGGGAAGAATGGAATTGATCAACATATTCCATGTTTATGAAGGAAGAGAATCTATCTAGAAGCTCTGCCTACAAAACCCTAATCTTAATACCTAATCAAAACTACACCGAAAGAAGGGAAGATCTTCAAATCCAAGCCTCTTCAAGCAATCCAATGCATCCTCAACTTGCCTTCATCATCATCCAAGAGCAAGCAAAGCAAAACCCTAATCTAAGGGAACTAAAGAAGTTAATCTAATTGAAATGGTGCCTCAGAATCATCTAAAACTAGCACTTAAACTAAAATCAAGCAAAAATAGCAAACTATATTATAAATTTCTACAAAAATTCCTAAGGGACCCTAATTGAATTAAGAATGCCTCATACAAAAACCAAAGGTTGAATCATCCACCTAGTTG